AGACACTTCGATGCTTTCGGGGACAACGTGTGTGGGATGACTTGACATGTTGACCTCTCGGTAGGAGTTCTTTTATTTTTAACCACAGACCTGGCCATGTTCGTATAGGACAGAAATGGTACAAGACTGTCATTTGTCTGACATTTTCTCCCTTGTGCTTTCTGATCAATCCACGACCTTTCGTAATTTGGAAGTTTGGCCAAAACTTGTACCGTCGTACCCAGAAAGGCGAGGCACATTCCAGGGTCATCCGTTTTTAAACATTATAAAACGCAATTATTCCTCTTTAAATCACTGTAGATCTAGTACATCTAAGGATAAAAAAAAAATTAAAACAAAACTCGACAAAAGCGGTTCACCTTTCCTGACAAATCACGACACATCCTTTGCGTGCCAATAACATTTTTTTCCTCAAATCACGTGACTTTGTGGTCGACGAAAGTTTGCCGGCGGTTGTTTCCCTTCATAATTATCGCTAGTCACTATAATTTATAATGATGCATCAATGTTTCTGATATTTTATAAGTTGTCCCGATCAATGTGTTGAAATTGAAGCATAATTTGGGTGTCGTATTGTAGTTTGAAGCAGCTTCAGACGAAAATACAGACTGAGAGAATACATTGGTGCTCATTTATTTGACTTCCTGATACACACAGTTGTGTTTACGTAATATTCATATTATGTGCACTTTTATAACAGCGTGTGTGTGTGTGTGTGTGTGTGTGTGTGTGTGTGTGTGTGTGTGTGTGTGAAAAGAAGGTAGAAAATAATAATATACTCACTCATCAGTCTTCCCGCGTTTTCCTTTACCCTTCGAAATGTCTCGAAAGGTTTACCTCGTGTGCCGACTGATCGATGCATTCCGCTAAGTGTGCAATTATTCGCTTTTCTTCTTCTTCTGTGTTTCGGGGTAACAGATAAGGATTTTTCGATTATTTTTTTCTTCTTCTTTGTTTGTTTTGGAAGAAATCTGCTGAGTAATAATATGACAGTAACTTTGCTTTTGTAAGCTGTGGTAATGCTGTTGAAGAAAGTTATTAATTTTTGGGAGGAGTGAAAGATGAGGGTGGGTTATGGGGATATTGAACAAAAGACAAAGAGAAAAAAAAAAAACACCACCCCCCAAAAAAAAACAAACAAAAAAACCCCAAAAGCGTGTGTGCATCGTCAGCGGGTTTTACTGCGTCGCTTGAGTAGAAGCTGCTCGCCCCACTCGGGTCGGTGGAGTAGGCCAAGTCACGCAGAGGTCACGGACATAGATCGATGTGGATCGAGTTTGTCGCAACTCTGTGGCCTGTGGGCCTACTGACTGCTGCTTGTGGCAGTTTGTGGACAGAAGACAAACAAACAAATCGAACGGGACA